CAGATTTGGTGAACCGTAGATGAAATTGAAAAATTCGATTTATTTTGAATATTTGCGACAATTTTTGCAATATTTGACTCCGAATATCGATTATCGTGTATATAATTTGTGATAGCGACAACATAATTCATAATGATCTTGTTATGTAGCCAGTGGACGTTGTCATCATTACTCCTAATCCTTTCAGCGTTCCTCTAAATATGCCATCCCACGAGTGTACATTGTCATAAAGGAATGTTTGTCGTTTATCTGAAAGTAAAAATTAGAAAAAAAAAACTTCATCCGTTATATTATATGAAACATGAAGCCTGGGAAATGAAGGAAGCCGTGGTAGCCTTAATGGTTTGACCTACTACCTCTCAAGCAGAGGATCGTGGGTTCGAATCCGGACTCGCACCTCTGAGTTTCTCGGAATTTATGTGCGAAATTTAATTTAAAATTTATCATGAGCTTTTCGGTGAAGGAAAACATCGTGATGAAACCTGCACGTCGAAGAAGGTTCTCAACCCTCAGAAGACGTGTGAAGTCCCCAACCTGCATTGGGCCAGTGTGGCGGACTATAGCCTAATCCCTCGTCTGAAAGGAGACGCGTGCCCAGCAGTGGGACGTGTAAATGGGTTGATGATGATATGAAACATTGCGCCAAATTTGAAACAAAATAATTAGATTAGTTTTCTCTACCTAATTTCAGTGTCAATATTTATAATTTAAATCTTGTAGAATATTATTATGAAGTATTATTTAATATACGAGTGTTGTATATTAAAATATTATTTAATATTTCACGATAATATACTCGAATACGTATATAATGAAAATTGCCACCGCAATTGGACAGAGAAAACTAACTTGAAAATTACCCATTTACGTCATATTAGTGAAAAAAGGTTTATCTTCGTATCTTTCTATTTAATTTTTACCACTCGAAGATCGATCCAAATATAAAACGAAAACTTAAAATATATTACGTAAAATAAATAAATAAATAAAGAAAATTAATTACGTTAAATAAAAATATGAACATGTAAATTAAAAAATGCGAATGGAATAAATTTCACATAATCCTCTACTTAATTCAGGCCGAATTTGAATGCCTGAAAATTAACAGACAAACCAGACTTAAAAAATAAATAAAAATAAGACAACAATTCAATAAAAATTTAAAATAAGACAACAGTATATGTAGTCTGATTGACATATTTAATTAATTCCCATACAAACTTCAACGTCTTAAAACTAACATTTGCCGTTCATATTAAAACGTTTTCTTAGTATTATAATAGTAGTATAGTCAGTACGTGTGTACGCCTGCTGATTTCAGCTTGGCAATAACCCACTGTACCTAATTCGGTAATCAATATGTTCGATTCTTTAAAATTCTGCTAAAAATTAACTTTCGATAGACCCTATGCGGGGACAAACAAGGGCAATGCGTTCACAGTGCTGACGTCATCGCGTCCAGCTGTACCTTAGTAAACGGCTTTACAACAACTTACCTTCAACGGCAGCCGCGCGTCTGTAGCGCTTCAGTAATGTTTGGTTCACTAATAAAATTGTGACTGCAAAAGGTGACTGAAAAAAAAATGGCGCTGCAGCTAAGCTTAATATTTAAGTAATATTTAATTTAATATGAAAATTAGTAGTGGCTCCAGTGCAGCGCTTTTATAAGCGTCTCGTATGGAACGCCCTTAGCGCAACCCGTAGAGAGAGTAGAAATAACAATGAAAATAAACTCAAAGCGTAACCGTAAACCAGAGGCGGCACATAAATTAACATTATAACAAAAATTTAATTGAGTTGAAAAAATGCGCAAACATTTTTTTTAACTTTTTTATTTCACAAGCATCGTACGAATTAAAATACTTGTGGAATAAAAACTTTCTCGTAGTTTTTCGATTAATTAAATTTTTATTACAATGATAATTTTAAAACTCTGCTACCTAACCTTGAATTTGCCTAATTATGCTTAGTGTCAGTACATAAAAATGAGACTACCTTTGTTATCAACCTTTTCACAAATAAACAAAAATTTATTTCATTGGTCATATTACACCAATTTCGTAATCAAATAATTGCAATAATGGCCGATAGATGACACTATTGTAGGGAGATTCCTCTTTGTATGGAAAACAATCTATAGCGATTTTATTCTTCTGTTAAAATCATATTAAAAATGTTAAGCGCGAAAAGGGTTTTGGTGAAAAATCCTTAGAGGATGGAAAAAAAATTAAAAAATCATACGAAATTGGAACTGTCCACTGTCATTTCATATGTTTTTGTTTTGCGGATTTATCGTAGAATGAGAGCTAAATGACTATGTAAGGGAGTCTCAAATACTGTTTTCATTCTACGCTGCAAGGTATAATTGGATTAAATGGGAAGCGTTGAAATACGTGGCAAAACTTCGGCAGCTGTGGCGCGAAGCTAACGGCGCGCTTATATTAGGTACACGAATTTCTTCGTGCGCTTGCCGCGCGGACGTCGTGCAGTGACCGCGTGAAGACCGAGCTTTTATAGTAAAATACGCTCTGTGTGTATACCATTCTTGTTTTAAATTCAATAAGCAAATAAAACAACAACTGCATGCACCCCGATCGCCGCGTCTCGCGCGGATGAGGCTGGCTTGTATTTGGTCTACGCGGCGGTGGCGCGGTTATATTATTCCGAGGAATTGAAATGTTGTTGCTTAGTGAATAGAATTCAAATTCGCCATTAGTTGGGCGGTTATCTCGCGGCGGCTGCTCGAAAACTTTCACGTCGTGTAAGGGCGCGTTCCCATTATGTCGTGACGACAGATAGTCCTGCAGTTTAAAGTGTCGTGTTTTATATATTTAAATGAAGTTGTTCACATACAGTAAGCACGATTAACTGTCGTTCACAACTGTTTTGTCTTTACGATGATAGACTGCCGAGACAATGAGACGAGCTAGAATGATAGTCGTCAGACGATAAATAAAACGCCATGATAAATATGTGACAACAAATAATCGCAGTTTCAATCATGCAAATTTCAAGCAATCGCGTGCAAACGACAAGGCAAGGCGTGAACGAAACGTCTGCGACACAAAAACGACTGATAGACGTGATATGGGAACAGGCTAGACGTGACAGTCATCCGACGATAACAGAACGTTACGACATAACGGGACGCGCCATAACTGGGCGCTAACTGTTGACCTTATTGTGTTCCGAAGAGATTTCTATATTATTTAGTTCAAAAAGTTTTTGTCACTTACATCTATATTGTATGTTGTTTGGAAATTATTATTTTCAATATTTTTTTATAATCTGGGACTTGGACAAATTAAACCAACGTGAAAGTATACAAGATATAGCTATCTAGAGGATTGATTCTTTTAGTTACATAGGATGTAATCGTTAAGTATGCCGTCTCGTAAATATAAGAGTTATCAAAATCCATCAAAGCCTTTCTACGAATGTTATGTAAATGTACGGGCGTTTAACGTTAAAATTTTGGATATTTCTAGTTTTATTTCTAAGAACTCATGATGTTTAGTTTTCCTCATTAGCTATCGTACTTGCCACATTAGTTTGAAGATTTTTGATATCTCCTTTATTTGCGGAAAAATTGCTTGGGCACAATTAACGACTACACCTTGTATATTATAAGTATTAGGTTGACAAAAACGTCTGTACGGTATCAAAGTATGTATGAAAAACATTTAAAAAATGATTGTGAAACTTTAATCCAGTATAGGCCGTGTTGTTGCACAATCTTTTGCCATCTTACGCGTACCTTTAGAATTCCCTTTTCATAATACATCCTGTCTTTAGTTATAAAATATCGTCTCTAAGTGTCGTTGAATGCTTTCTTCATTGACAAAGTTGTGTCCCTTCAAAGAATTCTATAAGACCCAAACAAGTAGCAGTAGAGCTACTTGTGAAAGAGTTCGTCCAGAGAAGTACTGCCACCTTACCTATTTCTGCCGCCAAGCAGTAATGTGAGTTTTACTACGCTATGGTCTTGAAGGGTAAGGGTGCTGGTGATATTACTGGCACATGGGACTTATCGACTTACGTCTCAGTGTGACGGGCGCAATGGCAGTGCCCTTCAGATCTTTGTGCTCTGAAAGCTCTGAATGGCACTGCAACTGCCATGGATAACTTAGGTGTTGCTTACCACCTTAGACTAAAGTGATAAACTTTTTAGACAATATGATAATTGTTGAACTGACAATTGAACTGAAAAGTTAAAATTTTGTGAAAGTGTATGCTTTGCGAATAAATGTACAGGAGCCTACAATTTTGTATAATTTGCCATAGAATGTATCAAATGTTCTAAAAATATTAAAAATGCGAAAGAATATAAAACGTGAATAATTCATTTTTTCCACCAACTAAGCTTATCACGAGGCGCACGACTCTTGATGTCAAAGAAAAAAAAAAGTGAAAATCTGAAGGGGCTAACACGCCCCAAACTAACTGCAATAGTTTTTGACGGCAATGTGAACATGTTGCGTGTTATTATTTATTGCTACGAAATACGACAATCTCCATCATCAGTACTCGACGTTTCCATGAATTATTATGAACTTGAACTTTCCCACCTGTTCTAAAAATGCGCGCTAAAAATTACTTTTAAAATGACCACAGACAATATAACATTTTAAAAGAAAAATTATTTTTTTGTATAGGTGCTAGCTAGTGGCAAAAACCGTACGGACTTTTGACCAAAACATATATCCCATATACTAAATCTATGATTACTTACATTCAAAATTCTAAATGTGAACATGCACCAACTTTATTATGAACATGCGCAGTAAACACCAAAAGGAACTTTCGCGTTGCTATACCACCAGTAGCTTGGCGGTGTTCTTGTATTCAGAACGTACTTCGGGGCTCCTCGGAAAATCGCTCGAGCGTCTTTTAAACCCAAGTATAACCGCCGAGTGTTATATGTAAGCATTACAAAAAAGTAGAAAAGCATGTCGATGTGTGATTAGAAAGTTGAAATTCCTGTTGTAAGGTGTGGCCTGTGAATTATTGTTGGAAGGTAAGAATCTATTACCTGTAGCTTCGATGTACTTTTAATCAGTACGTCCTGTTCGAACGTTATATATTGAATGCTTGTAGAGTAACTCCTCTCTTGGTTGTGATTTGTCTTTGAATTGAAGAAGTTGTATGTGCCAATTTGAATGTCAATTATTTAGATTAAGTATGATGACTGTCCTCAGCTGCATACACTATGATTACCTTAAAATGTGCTTATTATTTCTTTCTTAGGCGTTTCGTGTACGTAACTGTTTTAAAACGACAAAGAAATTTTAAGCATGGAAGAAATGACAAATTGTTAGAAGCTGTATTGTAAAATTGGTGTCTTATTGGTGTTAGCAGAACTATTTATGAATGTATTTCTATTTTTTTAAATAAGTCTTCTATTTTTTCTTATTAATACATTTATTATCATTTTTGCTAACCAGCGAGAAACTGATGAAACTGCACCTTGAACTATGAGAAAATTTATAGTCGGATTTACTTTGTCGTGTAAAAGTCAATAGTAGGTAACATCGTCACTTAACCACTTATATAACTATTACTAGATATATATCAACTACCCTTCTAGTCAGAAAATGATATTTCATGTCACTTATCAATTATCATAGATACAGGAGCATTGAAAATTTACATGCACTGACCACGCCACCTCTGCTGGTGACGTCATCCATAACGTCACTTACCTGCGGTATAAATACATGTAATGCTAGAAATTGCTAGACACCAGAGATTGGTTTGCTAAGATTTTAAAAATGCAGTCACGCAAACATTTTAAAACAGTTTTTTATTTTTTATATGTAACTAACACATATTACTTTTCAACAATATGCAAAGGTGTAAATGCTTATTTTGTCTTTTATCACTACAAAAAGTAACGATAAAATCTTTTGTTTCTAAATATTGTAAAGTATGTAGTACATGATTTAATAAGATGTTGTTCGAACAGACATAAAAACATAATTTGTGTTCATTATTATGAAAGAATCGAATATCTTTTTTCACTATTTAGTATTTTTGAGTCCTACATTTTTGGTCAGATTCTATAATACAAAGATATTCTTTGAGGACAAAAAGGTTTTGAGTTGAAATTATCCACAAAGTTGGTTATAGAGAACGCCTAACATTACAATAGAAATATTTTCCTAATATCGATAACCTTGCTCTCCGATCACCCGATATCTCAATCAAGGATTGTGTTTCTTCTTTTTGTATCATAAATAACCTTTTGTTTTACGCAGTTCACTATAATAAACCTGAAGTTTCAAATTTCTCAGTTTTAACAAAATGTAAGTCTAAATGATTTTTTTTATTTTTCTTTTGTAACTACTTTTCTATAACTTGTCGGGATTTGTTCAGAACCCATAAAAAATCGACACAAGCAAATTCACACCCGGGCACACAGAAATGCTGAAATATGTGTGTAATATCGCTGCGGCAAACGCAACATGTACTAATAAGTTTTTTTAAATGTCAGCGGCAATTACTGAAACAGTTAAATTAAATATTAAATAACCAGAGCTTCAAATAAATAGGCACTGTTCTATTTTTGGTAATATACAGTGAATAACTGACAATATGAAGTAAGAAGAAAAATTAAATAACAAATATAGTATGTCAAACATATCATACAAAAAATAGCATTATTATTAAAAGATTAAAAACCAAAGAGATTTAGCAAAAACAATAAAAAGTTCCATTACGGAAAGTTTACGAGATGATATGGAAAGCTGATACCTACATAATACCCGAATGGCCGGTACATTTATTATGTATGATAGCACTTTCTTAGCTCAAATTGGCTATAGTAGCTAGACACACGAAAACGCGGTCAGTCTTTAAAATTGCTATTACTGGTTCAATGAATGCTATTGATGTTACTGAAATGAAGTTATAAAAGCATCATCATTGTTATCGTTACGGTCTGATAGTTTCGATCTTGGGAATAGATATCGACGACATCAACTTGCGTGCGCAGTATTGATTACATCTATTCCGTAAATGTTCCTAATCTTCCCTTAAGATACTAGAAAGGTCTTTTAATCCTTTAAAGCTGCCTTGACTCTTTTAAGGTCACTAAAGTTGTGGAGAGGTTGATAAAGAAGGAGAAATTCAAGTTTATGTGTGCTACACAGTATATACGAGGACCGGCTGAAAAGTTACATAAGACTATTTCCAATTAAAAAATAATACTGGCCATTATCGTGACGCATTCCTTGTTTATTATTTTTTGAAAATTAGTGACACTCGTTTATTTATTACGTTTCGCTTTGCATGGACAAAATGGCGGAATTTAAAAGCAAAATGTTTAAAAATGAGTAACAAGTTTTTTAACACCCTTTTCTAACTTTTAATTTCCTTTCTAACAAATATAATAAGTGCATTTCCTACTTACATTTCTTATGTAATTACATATTGAAAAAAAAAGTAACCATGGCCGTCATTTATTTCATACGTAACGCTAGTACATTACATGTATAATCGTCGTAGATTGATTGTACACAGGTAGATTATTTTTCAGGCGCTCCTCGTAGATAGACAGAAGATAAATTATCATAATAATAATATTAATATTTTTTACAAAAACGATCACATTTCGCGAAGATGACAGAAAATCGCTCAGGATAGGATTTCTAGTGACACGGTGACGAAAAAAACTGCCTCATTACTATTACATTTTTCTGAACGACTGCCATTTTTAACCGATTTCAAAAAATTATCACATTCTCAATCCGATTGAATTTTTTTGTTTACGTATGTTACTCGGACATTTGTAAACCGATTTCGAAGATTCTTTTGTTTATTGGAAAGTGAGTACCTCAATAGTGGTTTTACACATATCTGAAGATAATATTCTACCTCTAAGGATGGCAAAGTAGGGACGGACGGACGTCTGTAAATTTATTATTGTTTCAAAAAAAAAAAAAACACTTGTATATATTACTTACGAAATATTTAATGATTAAAAAAAATTGTAATGAACACAAATTAAAAAGAAAAAACTAATCTTGTGTAGTTTTTCGGATGAACAAAGTTGCTTTAATAGGACAGATTTAGTTCTTAAATATGATGTATATATGTCATATAATTTATTAGATAAACTATTTACTACGCTACCTACGAATCATTTTAACTAATCTCGGTCATTGTTTCTTTGATTACAAATGTCACGTCAGCTTGATAGTTCAAACTGGGTATGGTGCTTATATTATTCCTTTATTTTTTTCCATCCTCTAAGGTATGGTCGGCGCTTAGAGGAATGGAAATTCCATGTTCTAAGGGTCGGAGAGAGAGGGTTTTTTGTGTGAGTTGCTTGGACAGTGAAGACAGTACAGCCTCGCTGTCTTGGAACTTGCCGCGTGATATTTAGAATCCGTTTTAACCTCATTAATCTCTTATACTTTTGGACGAATTACCGTGAAACAAGTAATTGCAGTCAGTTGACTCCCTTTCCGGCCTCTGACAAATATAACTATTGGCATGATTTTTCAATTATTGTCACGTGTGTCTTATTATGTCTAAACGGAACATTCTTAAGTATTTTGGGAACTGCGGGACACGTAGCTTAAAAGCAGGACTGTCTCGCTCTAAGCGGGACGTATGGTCACGTTACACGATGTACACATAGATGTAATTCCAAAGAAATTAAATGTTAAGGTGACCTAGAGCTGATCTGATGATAGAAATAGCTGACAGACAAGAGGAACTCTTCAATAATTTATAGCACCTGTCTTGTATTTGGGCTCATATTGTTTTGATGAGACTTCTGTCTGCGTTTCAATAGGAGGCCGCGGCGACGAATACAGGGTAAAGTTTGAGGGTTGGTTTTTTTTAGGTTATGTTATTATTAATCATTGCATTGTTCTTTATGTTAGCAATAAAGTATACACACGGATAATGACATTGAAAGGTCAATCCTTAAAAGATGTTTCTTACTTTTTTATAGCTTTTGGACGTGACTTTTGTTGTTTTTTCAGTGTCGGTTCACTCACGGTTTCATTTTTAGTCCTCATTCGTGATTCTGCACGTTTTCTAAGTTCGGAATAGAATTATCATGATACACTAGTGAATAATTCTATGTCTTTAATAATAAATACAACTTAAGACGTATACAGGTTGATTAAGATAGTTATTAAATGACGACATAACATTAAATTAGGAATTAAAAATAAGTTTATTAACAAGTAAGTATGACACCTCAACCAAATCAATATTTTTTAGTAAAGTCGCATCTTCGCTAGGTGGCGTTGAGATTAAGTTAAAAGGCGCTATCAATGTCTTGACTCAAACATAGCATTTTATGTCGGAGAAGCTATTATATATATCAAGTGACGGGACGAACAAGTCATGCGCTTGGTGGTAAGCTATACGCCTGTCCTTATGGACAACTGCAACTGTTATCAGTTGCAATGCCACTCAGAGTTTTAATTCGCAAAGATATGATGGGCACTGCCACTGCGTTTGTCATCTTAAAACATAAGTTAACAAGGCCCATACGCCTGTATTTTCACCAGCATCCTTACGCTTTGAAAATCGGAACGCAGGAATACTAACATTGCTGCTTTGCGGCAGAAATAGGTAACGGGGACAGTACTTCCTTGGACGAACACTTTCACGAGGAGCTAATAGAGCTACTAAAGTGTACTACTGCTAGCAGTAGCAGTAGTACACTTTATGCCATTGCCGCGTGATATTTAGAATTACCAAGTAGTACACTTTATTGCCAATTTGCAGAGTCCTCAGTGGCATTGCCTGTGAAATCTGCCGAAGTGCTTAAAAGTCGTAGACCGTCTCATAAGACTACATTGTTACTCTGTGGAAGTTGCTAAGTAGGTATAATAATAAATCACGTACTTCTTACTTACCTTGTTTTGTTAGCTTTGTCTACTTCGCCCTCCTTGTTACTTAAGTTTCTCGATACAAAACAATATACGACAACTTTTTTTTATGCCATGTGACGGGATAAACAAGTCGTGCGTCTATTGGTAAGCGACGCAACTG